ACCAAAGTGAGTGAGTCCTGCAAAGAAACCTTTGTATTTTGGGATTTAGCAGCCCGTACCTTAAAAACCCTTTGTTCCTGCAGAGGTATTCATCATCATGATTTTATGACACACTGATAATTTTCCAGTCTTGTTACAAGTGGTGTTTATTGAGAATTAGGAGTGTTACATCAGTGCTAAGCCACAGAATCACAGAATCATTTCGTTTGGAAAACAAGTCAAGTTTTAAAGTATATTTGACTTCAAGTGCAGTTTTGTGCAATTATGAACTGTTTTGAATCTGACCTTTTTTTTGATGGTTCTGGTGGGAAAAAATTTCCAGAGTACTTGGAAGAAACAGGTGGTAAAGAGTTCTTTCCCATCATCCCAGAATTCAACAGTTATGAGCATTCCCACCAAAGGTGGAGGGAGTCATTACTCCCAGCTTGACTGAATATCAGACAGGTTAAAGTAAACTTTTTGGTGCTGAAGGAAATAGATATTTTGTAAATATTTTTCTTACAAAGAAGTAAAAACAATAATTTGATGTATACCTAACATTTTTGTTTTTTTTTTTAAGGACCCCAGCATTGTTACTCAAGTGTTATAACCATTGGTTAATTCTACAAGCAGGTCTCTCTTCCAAGGTCTGTCTGGATCAACTTTTAACAAAATGCTTCTGTTCATACAGTTCTGCAGTGGATCCTGGGATAAGATGTTAAAGATCTGGTCTGCAGGTAAGTTGCAAGTTGTAAGGCTGTACATCACTAGGCTGTACACCAAACATTACTAGTTTAGTTAATTACACAAGTTCAGATTTGGTTATCACCTGCATGGTATTTGTAGGCACCAGAAATTTTGAGATTTGCTGAATTATTTATATGGAGATGAAATTCAAAGACCTGTAGCTCAAGTCTGCCTGTCTTCTGTCACAGTACCTACAGATGAAGAGGATGAAATGGAAGAAGCAGCTAACAGACCACGGAAAAAGCAGAAAACTGAACAGTTGGGACTGACAAGGGTAAGATGAACTGCAGGTTTGTCCAGGATTTTTCTTTAGAAGCGTTACCACAATGAATAATTTGGTGACTTTAAAGGTAATCTTAAAACTTCTGCTGGTATGTCTCAGGCTAATCAGACATTTTTATTTGTTGAAATAATAGATCTTTTGATGATATTCAAATCTGTCACCGTTGAATTCTAGACTCCCCTGGCAACCCTCTCGGGCCACACAGAAGCTGTCTCCTCTGTACTGTGGTCAGATGCTGAAGAAATTTGCAGTGCATCGTGGGACCACACCATTAAACTCTGGGATGCTGAGACTGGAGATCTCAAATCAACTTTGGTGAGATCATTATACCCTGTAGCTTCAGCTGAAGTCCAGCTCAGAGAAAAAAAAAAAGGCTGTGCTTTTTGAAAAAGAGTACTTCCTGTCTTAGAATTATGGTTTTCTTTTCTGACAGACAGGAAACAAAGTGTTTAATTCTGTCTCCTACTCACCACTGTGTCGACGTCTTGCATCAGGGAGCACTGACAGACATATCAGACTATGGGATCCTCGCAGCAAAGGTGAGCTAAAACATGGATAGTCTCAAAGATGTTCTCCAAAATCAGAACTTTTTCCTGTTGAGAGACGTCTCACAAACTGTTTTCTGGTCCCTCTGCTTGAAAACAGTCATTTGAGGGCTTTTTTTACCYACRAAGRTTWCATCTACTTTCTSTATTCTGGTGCAAGACTYGTTTTAATTTCTTACCTTTTAAGTTTAACTGGGCTTAGGTTCTCTGTTTTTAAACTTATTAATGAATGTTATACAACTGTGCAGCTGAATGTAATTTTTTTTTGTAATGTTCAGACTTAGACTTGTCTGATAATCATTGAAGTGAAATAGTAGTCATGGTACTATGTATTACAAACAGATAGAATTAGGGATATTATGACTGAGCCTACCAGCTTTATTTTCATAGACACGTTTCATAGAATGGTCTGTGTTGGAAGGGACTTTAAAAATCTTCTAATTATCCTGCCTTGGGCAGGGACTCCTTCCACTAGAGCATTGCTCAGAGCCCCACCCAGCCTGGCCTTGAACACTTCCAGAGATAGAGCAGCCACAGCTTCTCCGGGCAACCTGTTCCAATGCCTCACCAATCTCATAGTCAAAAATTTCTTCCTAATACCTAATCTAAACCTGGAAGCTATTTGTCAGTACATGTTCTTGTAAAATAGTCTTTCAACATGTTTCTTGTAGGCTCTCTTCAGGTATTAGAAGGCCGCAAATAGTAAAAAATGTTTAGCTTCTGTAAATCTAATACAGAGATCATTAGTTTATTATGTGTTGTCAGTAAAATATTTTTTTTGTTTGTCTTTTAAAAAAATATTTGAAAAGAAAGTTAATAGTGACTGGAAAGTACATTTTGAGGGATTTGGAGTTGGTTTTGTTTTTGTTTAGTTGGGTTTGCTTCTTTGTTAGTTTTTTTTCCTTCTCCAGCACTTGTGTGGCTTATATTTTTGTTCACTTTGAATAAAATTCACTTAACACTTAACTTGAACTGCAGTCTCACTGGATTTTGTACACATCTTAAATGTGCTGGTTTCAGCTAGCATCTGCTGATGTCTGTGTTTTTTCCTCTTTCTATTCAGATGGCTCCCTGGTTCTCCTGTCTCTGACTTCTCACACAGGTTGGGTGACATCTGTGAAGTGGTCACCTACCCATGAGCACCAGCTGATCTCTGGTTCTCTGGACAACATTGTGAAGCTTTGGGACACAAGGAGGTAAAATAAATCTCTGTTTGTTGCTGTTCAAAGGCATGTGAGCTGTTCCTCATGAAATAGCAAAAGCAGAGACTTTCACTGGAAACACTTGTGGCATTTGTGAAAACCCTCTTATGTTTTAGAAGTCAGCAATATAATGAAAGGGAGGAAAATGCCTGTATTCTACCAGAGGGCTGGGAAACATGCACAGCTGAGCAGCATCTGAAAGAAAGAAACTGTAACAAACTCTTCCTAACAACTGGCTGAAATTCAGTCTCAAAGTTGTTTGCAAGCAGATGAAAAATGTTGCTGCTTTTCTCCTTGGTGATGTAGGAGAGGATAATACTAATGTGATTGGTTCTGGAGAAAGCATCACAGATGGTAGATACCTGTACTCTCTCAAAGTGTTCATAACTGCTTGACCACATCTGTTGGAAAGCCTTGTACTAGCATTTCTTCCTGGGACTAGCTGTTTTCTATGATTGCTGATACAACTTCAAACCTGTTTTTCACTAGTTGCAAAGCTCCTCTGTATGACTTGGCTGCTCATGAAGACAAGGTTTTCTGTGTGGACTGGACAGAAGCAGGGGTAAGAATCTGAAGAGCAAGTTACTCAGTTTCTATGCAGGGTGTGTAAGAAGAAAGCTAAAAACAGTTATGGACTGTTTCTTCCTTATGCCTAAAGCTAGAAGAGAACAGGGTTGTAGCTATGCTGTGGTTGGTATCTGGGTGGCAGTGTCACAGGGACTGCAGCCTGTCCCCACACTGCCAAGGGGAAGGGTGGGAGCTGAAGCTCTGTGGCATTTACTGAGCATTGTACTGATATTCCAAACAAAGAGAAATGAGAACAGCACTGCACCTTACTTGGAAAACACCTTCCAAGGTACTGTTTTCTGCCTTGGGGACTAAAGCAGCATCATGAAGTAACAGCTGGCGTGTGGCAGTCAGTGCATATAGAAAGGGGAAATTGTATAATCCTCTATAGCAAGTTGTTCTGCTACTGTACTGGTACACATGTATTTAAAATGACCAAATGTTCAAGATTCTCAGTGTGCCTCCTGTTCTCAGGAAAAGCTTTCGCAACTTCCCTACAAAAATTCACTTTGAACTTTCAAGAAGAGGGAACTTTAAGAGACAAAGTTGTTCTCTACTTTCATTCTGGGTTTTAGTCATGCATTAACAATTCACAGTAGTAAACATCCTTCTATAAAGGAAAGAAAAATTGACTCCTTAACTTTTGTGTACTTATTTTGCTTAGCTCTGATATTAATCACAATTTCCTTCTCTCATCAGTTGTTACTGAGTGGAGGAGCAGACAACAAACTCTATTGCTACAGATACCCAGCTACAGCCTCTGATGTGGGGGCATGAAGATCAACGGCCAGAAAACTTCTTTCAAAAAAACAAGATTTTTGCAGCAGTTGCTCTCTATTAGCATCTCTACACAATCAACTTCCAAAGAAAGGAGAAGTTTGCTGTTGTTCCTGGTTTTGTATTGGTAACCTATGTCCATATTTGTCACAGAAACATAGCAAAGCCCAAGTGGGATTAATGTGAAACAAGGCAAAGGTCATTTCCTCTCTTTTTGGTGGCTTTGAATTAACATCTTTTAAATGACTATTTGTATAGCCCTTTTAATAAGAAGTAAACTGTTTGCTGATACTTAGAGAAAAACTACTCACTGACTAAATTATTTTTTTAGTTTATCTGTTTTCCGTTGGGAAAAAAAAATAAAGCTTTTATCAACAGGTCATTGGTTTAGTATGTCATTTCAGATAAAAATGAGATCTCAGCTCTGCTCTCAGTCTGGCTGTTGGCAGTTCTTATGATTTGGTCTTTAATTAATCAACCCATGCTTCTTTCTGGGATGAAGACTTGGTATGCTTGCAGTGCAAGTGGCATGATACAGAGGAACTTGACAGAATCATTGGCAGATGAAATATTCTGAATTTTAGTATCTTATAAATTAGGGCTGTAGATTATAAGAATGCCAGCCTTGTATCACAGTACTAGCTGTGTTGCTGTAACATTAATGTGGTGTTCTGGTCCTAAAAGCATGTGTAGAAGCAAGTGGTGGATCACACAGAGGAGGCAGAAGAATAGGTCATTTGTTCTTGAAAAGAACAGATTCAAAAGTTGCAATAGCTTTTAGGCTGATAGAGGATAAGTGCTATTCAAACATGCTCAATTTCTCTGCTTTCAGTTCAGCATTTAAATGAAAAACTGATTACTGCAGCTTGCTGGATGACATGAATGTGATGTTAAACACATTGTTCCTGTGTGGAAACCACACTTGAATATCTTCACCAATGTCTTGGCTTTCAATCAATGTAACACCTGCACAGCACAAACAAGTCAAATGCTTAAATTAGTAATTTTTCTTTGAAGAGTGAGAACTCTGACCTCCAGGTTTATAATACTGGCATATTATATATAGACTAGAGCTATAATACACATACAGTTCTGAGAAAGGAGTTTTAGGAAATACCAAAGAGCAAAACTCCACACTGTCTGGAGAAAATGGCAAAGGACAGGGGGACGATCTCTGATTCCTTTGCTCTGCAAGTGAAATATTGCAACTAACAATTCATATGCAAGTGTCTCAAGACTCGTGAATGCATGATAGGTAACCTTAATAGGGTTTTCTTATGTTCCCAGATTGATTTACAAAACACTTTTAAAAAAGATCATGTCACTTGAAGTGTCAGCTTAAGGAAACACAGCTGGCATCAGTTTCACGTTCAAACAGTGAATCCATTAGATCTACCTGTAATAAATACACAGAAGAGAAATAAATATATATCTAAAAAGGGAGGTTTTGATGGACCACAGTCAAAAGCAGGAGCATTTTTACAACCAGGAGAAGTACTGTGGCAAAAGAACAGACAAAGAAGGAAGTAAGTAAACCATATTAACGTGAAGTGATACCAGTGTAAGCACACTGTATTTGGAATATTATCTGTATTACCACTGTCCATAACTTATCCTGAAACCAGTATTTTTTACATTTGGCTGCCAGTTCTTTGGATAAACTATAATCTTAAATAAAATGTTTTAATAAGACTTTCCTTTCAAACATGCAGTCCATTAATTTAAAATAATCATGTGATATTACAATGGTCAACATGAGCTGATTTTAGAACTGCAGAACTGAGTCAAAAACATGGCAATTCAGAGTCAAGGTACTGATGATGACTACTCAAAAAAACCCCTTTTTTTACTCCCCTAGAAACCATTTCTGCATATTCCTAGTGCCCTAGTAGCATTCCACAAAACAGTAAAGAATTTTTACGTAGTAATTGCTAGTTTTGCTTAAACATAAAAGTGATACTACAAATGAGGGGAATAAAGACAATAATCGACTACTGCAAGATTGACCTACATTTGTTTTTTTTATCAATGAGAGGTGGGGGGTTGGTTTGTTTTTGAGAGGTTGTGCAGTATACATTGTTCTATATCTATCTTTTCATTCTGCACTGACACCTGGCATGAAGTGTTCACTTTACCAGCACATGTGTGCTGCCTCTGAACACAGTTCAAACACCAGCGTGTGTTAAAAACATTAAAAGCACCAGTTTAAGACAAGGATTCACCTGCTTGGTCCTTGGCTTAGTGCCACAGTTGCATCTCTGTTCAGGTGTTTCCTTTTACCCAGCTGGTTCTTTCAGCTTTCCTCTTGCTTTGAGACTTTCATCTTTGCTTCCGGATATTTCACCAAGATCAGACAGAAACACATAGAGAAAGAATACACTTCTAATAAATCTCCTGAGATATGAGGTTTTCTCCTGCATTTTCTGACATTTCTGCAACAGAAGGCACTAGATAGGCAGATGCACAGATTCTCCAAAGGAAAAATACACACTTTTGTTACACTCTTAAGTTGATTTGAGTCTTGTTTACTACCAACTTGTTACTTAAATGTGGATATAATTTTAAGAATTCCAAAAGTTTTAAGGTTTTTCTCATTACTGAATTAATGGAGGGTACAAACTTATCTACAAGATTGTGATGATAAACATGATTCTTAAAAAAGCAAACTACCCCCCCAAACAACAACAACAAACAAACAAAAAAGTCCCAAACAAGCAGCGGATGTGATTTAGATAGATCTGTTCCATGACCTCACTGAAATTTCAGCATGTGCTCTTCCCCCTTGCTGTGGGAAAGGCAAAAGGTTTTACCAGATTAGAACTTGTTGAGAACTAGGTAAACACACTTCAGATTTCTGCTCTCTGTCAGAATGGGGCTGCCAAGCTGGACCCCACACACCCCAGTCCAGGGGAAAATGCAGTTTATGGATTATCAGCCTGCTTGAATTTGAGAAGCACAAGGCTACAGTGAGCTGCACAGATACTTCATTGGCTAACAACAAGTAGGAGGAGCTTTTGCTGCAATTTATATGCCAAAAAAAAAAAGCCCAATCAAGTTTGAATCACCAGTTTTTGCTTGATGTTAGCTCATTGGCAGAGAATTCAAATTACAGGCAAAACTTGGGTTGAAATTAATTGTCACAAAAACCAATTGAAATTGTCCTGTAAATTGCATGAAATAAGTGTCTTTTCAGCTGCTAGTGAGAAGCTGGCTGAGTCTGGTCTAGGAAAGACAGCTGCTCAGTTCTGATGAGTCTATCGAGCCATCCAAATCAAGACATGTACTGTATGGAATACTGAAAATATAACTCAAACCACAAAAAAATGTAAATTTATGTACCAATTTAAATATTTGTACTTGAAACTTCAAAATGTCAATTGTCCATGTCTTTGCAATTTACTCCATGGGAGTAAATTTACTCCCTGTGACCAACAAGGGATTTCAGTACAAGTTTAAAATATTAGTAAATCTAAATAAACATTGAAATAAATGCTCTTGTGATTACTACTGACACTTTCAGCCTATAATGTGTAATTTAAGCAAAGAGATTTCTTTAAATGCTTGAAATTATCTCTAGATGCAAACCAGAACTCACAAAAGCTTTGTGGAGAAACATTGTAAGTCAATTGTAGCAAAACATCCCAATAATCTATATTGCTTATCCAAAAGAGTCCCCCTCATCATACTTCAGACTTTTTATGGTCTATAAATTTAGACAGGGAAGTACTGATCTTCACTCAGACCACAGCTGTTCTAAACTGCATGTGAAAGACAGCTGAAATCCCTTGGAAGAGCCTTCAGGAAATGCCCAGTGAATTAGTTCCTCTCCTTTAACTCTCTATCCCAGTTCATGAAAACTATTTGAGTCTGTTGCACACACATGCACAAATCAGAAGCCTCTCATGGATTTCTGCTCCCAAGGCAGAACAGAGAAACAGCTGACAAAGCACAGCAGAAATACTGGAAATTGAAACATTCACCAAAGAATGCAGATGAATATGCGGCAACATCTGATGCAGAGCTGGATGCCAAATTAGTGATAAACCAACGGGCCATGAGCAGAGCCAGAATGAATTGATGGGCAGAGTATCAATACATGAAAATGGATCATTTTCCTGACACTAACAAGTACTAGGTACTTTTACAGGGCAGCCTCAGTTGCCCCTATCATTTGAAAAGCCGCAGAAATGGTATCCAGTGTTGGAATGACATTGGTTTCTGAAGCTGAGAGACCATTTCCACTCTCAGCAGAGTCACTACCCCATCTCCCCACACTCAATTCCCTGCACACACTCACATTTGGTGGAAGAGCTGAGCAGGATTAAGCTTGCTGCAGAACAAAAGTGTTACCACAGAGTCCCAGCCAGGCTGAGAATTCTCTGTCATACAGACTTGTCTGGGGATTGGGAGGATGACAACAACAAATAAGCTACACTCTCCTTTTTTTAAAGTACTTGCAGCATTGAAGGCTACACAAATGAATTCCTCATTTGTGTGATTCCAAGCCTCAGGCACTGCTGATTGAACAGTGGATGTGGACACCCAGAGCCATCTGCTCAAAACACAAACTTAGAACCAAAGCCTGAAAGGTGTGCCATTGGTGTGCATTAGTGAGAAGCATTATTACTATTACAATGCTTCAGATTCACAACAAACATGTTTTCTAATGTCCCCCATTAAAGCCAGTAATGAGTTTTCTAATTTAAAGAGCACAAATTTCTCTCTCTCTCCCATTCTTTTCCTCTCAGATTTTGCATCAACTTAAGCCCAAGTGTGGGTTGGTTGGTGCAAATTTGAAAAAAAACTTTTTTATCTTATTAAAAAAAAAAAAGATAAAATTTGGCAGAATTTCACTGAGTTACACTGAAGAGATCTTATCTCTCAGGTCTTTGATTGGTAGTTTGTTATTTTGGTGGGCTCTGAGGATAGGATGGGAGTAGGTTTTTAATATTCTGAGTAGGAATCAATACTTTTTGGTGTTACTCAAAACATCTCGTATCCATCTTACATCGACATGCAAATGGCCCTCTTGATAACATCATAGGATTTGAAATAATCACAGATTTAACAACCACAACATTTTTAGGCTTAAGAATGTACAGAGACCCCCAATGGATACTCTCCATTGTTTCTTAGAACACAGTACTTATCTCTTGCAGTTAAATACTAAACAAAGTGTTTCCTAGATCTAAACAGAACAAATTTAAGCAGATCCTGGTTTCAGTTACCCTGCTGTAATTCCAGAGCATGTCAGTTAATACAGTGAAACCTATCCAAATCAATTTAATTAATACAGATTTACAGAGGAGCTTACATGCAGTGTACCTGCGTGTAATTTGCAATAATTAAAAGATCTTACATCTTTATGTAGCTGAAAACTGA